GTCTCTTAGTTAACATAGGATGATGTTTTGTGAGCTAGTAAAATCGATGCCATTGGAAGTATGCATGATTATTTCAATAATTTTCCTTGTGTTGTCTCAGATTTTTGTACATGCACACTATTTTTTCAGTTAGGAGAAGGGCTAAATTTCATTATCCTAGGTAGAATCATATTCCATTAACCTGTAATGCTCTTTTATGCAAAAATATTTTGATTCATTTGATTTAAGGTGCCTTCCATTTGGTTAGCAGCCAACCACTTAACCCACTGTGCCACAGGCAGTGTCAGCCCGACCAGCCACTCCACGGGAGAAAGATGTGGCAGTGTTTCTGTAAAGGTAGACAGCCTCAGAAACCCTCTGTGGCGGTTCTGCTCTGTCTTGTAGGGATGCTCTTAGCGAATCGATTCAATAGCAGTGGATTTGGTTGGTTTTTATTTTAATTATTTGTAGAATTCAATAATTGTTACTTTAATAGTGAATCTAGGAGCTTCTAAGTTCTTTTGGGGAAAATAATAGAGGTGCTCTTTCCAGAGTTCCACACCGCCTGAGTTTATGTTAGCAAATCTGGAGTTATTGGTGGTACCAGTAACAGCCATAAAAATAATCTAAGTTATTAATATCCAGCATGAACATTAGAGCAATAAAGAAAGAAGATCTATTCCTTTTGGAGCCCCACATTTACTTTAGGCAGATAACTTGATAATTTTTTGGGTTAAGTAATAAGGAAATGTTTAATTTACAATATTTTTCTACACATTTAACTTTTCACATAGCTTGCTCTTGTAGAGAGAGGGAAATGATAAAGACATTAAAATAAGTGATTTGTAAAATAACTTCTTTGATACTAAAAATAGTATGATTATTTGAGAATAGACTACTAAGTATCATTTTTATTTTAAGTATATGTAACCCTTTATAATTATGATTTGTATTCCTAATGCATATGTTAGTAGAGCCTAAATTCATACCTTGGCTTTATTTTTAAATCTTCATATAGTGCATATTTGTGGGACAAAGATGGCACTTTCTAGTCCCACAAAACAGTTACAGTCTCAGAAACCCACAGGCACAGTTCTTCCCTGTCCTATAGGGCCGCCATAAGCCAGTATGGACTTGATGGCAGTGAGTTTGAGTTTATAGAGTATATTATTAGATATCACCACATAAATAACTAATTCAAACTGAGTGATTTCAAATCTGAAATTCATTGTATAATTTTTAACAGTCATAACCTTAAGTGCTATGGTAATGTTTAACGAAAAATCTTTTCTCAAAAAATGGCCCTGATGTGTAATGTTTATTCCGTAAATACCCGCATCATGGAGAATTTCAAGCTATTAAAATGCTGTCATATCAATGCAATGTGTAGTATTATCAATATGTAGTATTTATATTTAATAGTATATAATACTATATTATAGTATTTTCATTATATAGTACAATAGATAGAAATAATGCCAGGAGCACAGATAATCATAAAATAATTAGGTAGTGATAATTTGTGATAAATTTTGACTATTAAAAAAAGACCAAAACCTTTGTGAACTAGGTGAAGGTTTATAGAGCAGATAGATCATCAGTTTTATATTCAACATTTTTCTTCAACTCATCCATTACAAAACCATCCTTGTACTTACCCTACTTCTTCCCTATCTCCTGTTACCACTCCTTATTTGCTAACCCTCTTTACTTTGTCTTGGCTAAGTGTTGCCCTTTTTTTATCTTAAATGGCTGATTATTCTAACACGGGGGTGTGGGTGAAGTAGTAGGGGTAAGGGTGGGATGAGGGTAGGCATAATTTTGGAGGTTCTACCCATCTCAATCTGACCAGTAAGCCTAGTCTTGTGTATGATTCGGGGTTGTGTTCCACACTTTTCTCCTCTATCCAGGACCTTCTAATATGATCTTTTCAGAGCAGATGGTAGTGGGAGGTGGAGCTGATTTCATCCAGCTTTCTGGGTCTCAGGGTTGTGGAGTCTGATATTTGCGTGGTTCATTAGTCCTGTATGTCTTTAGATTTTCATTATTATTCTTTACTCTGGACTGGGAAGGAATTACCTCTATTTGCAATAACAGTTTTAAAGGTGAAATTAGGGGTACAGTGGTAGAATTTTCACCATCCTGCAGGTGTTACAGTCTGCCCGGGGAAGCTTACATGCTGCTATGATGCTGAACAGGCTCTCGGAAGACTTGCAGACTAAGATGGACTAGGAAGAAAGTGATTTACTTCCTAAAATCAATCAGAAAACCTTCTGGATTGATGGTGTGGTCCACAACTGATCATGGGGATGACACAGGCTTGGCTGCATTTTATTACATTGTGCACGGGGTTACCATGAGTCAGAGCTGAGTTGGTGCCACCTAACAACATCATTTAGTTTATATAATTTAAAATTTCAGTAATTGCTTTTTTTAATAACTGGCCCACAAAATTCTCATCTCTGGTGGGCTGATGTAATTTGGTTCCAGTACATGAGTGAATTAATTATTGTAATTTATAAAGAATTATT